GTTGATGGGCAAAACGGCAAGTTTCCTTTAAGAATACAAGGTTGTATTCAATCATCTCTGGTAATTTAATTACCAAATGCAGCATTTTCATCATGACCATAGCAAATAATATATGACAGTAAAGCATCGTCTAATTCATCCTAATTCATAGTCTAATTGAATAATCAACTTGCAATTGAGGATTTTCTTTGAAAATGTTTAAGAAAACTTCCATTCCTTTAGTTGAAGATATAAATTGTTTACATTTTTCGTCACATTTTGTATTGATGCTGTTCATATGTTCACATGGCAAGTAACAGCAGTGAAATGAACCTTTCAAGGGATTGATTAAACAAATACTTGAATCATTTAAGACAATATATCTTCCATATAAAATTATTCATGTATTTAAATATAAAATTTCAGAATGTGTCCTATCTCATGGGAATGAGATGGGAATGCATCCGAAGCAAATTTCAAGAAAGAGTTAGGAACGTTTCTGAAGTATCCACCTGACCGCCAGGCAGGGAGTGGCAGAAAGAAGAGAAGCTGTATGTCAGTTTAATGCTATATGCAGATGATATTGTGTTATTATCACAACAGAGATCACCTACAGACTATGTCATGTGTGATGTTTTTCATTATGCTTTAAACCACGTTTCTCTGTGTGCGTTTGTGTTCATAAAGATTTCATAAAAAGTGACTGGTTTTATGTGCTGTCTTCAGGTATAGTTCCTGTTCATCTTGGATCCCTTTCATGGTGAAAGTAATTGCATTGTGTTTATTCAGGGGTCTGTCTAATAGCTGAAATTCAGACAAAATGTCTTCTCGACAATTTCCACCTTTCAAGATAACAATACAACAGTAAATAGTTCTTCTTAATTTGGAATACTCTTTCTTCTTACTGGAATTATACGTCCAACTGACATAAAACTTAAATGAACATTATATTGAATGTGGAATTTTAACCAAGTATTTTATCAGGTAAATATTTTTACTGCAATTTTATGTTTGAACACTGTTTATTGCAGATAGCTTTTTGGGTATTTTTAGCTGGATGCATGAGTTTGGTGCTACTTTAGTGTAGTTTAAAGATGAAGTGCGAGTCTATTTACAGGAAAGCGTAATACCTCCCAGACACAACCACGGAACAACCCATTTTCAATGTTAATAATATGTCACACTTCAACGTTGATTCCACGTCGGATATCTACGTCTAAAAAACTTTCATATACAACCTTTTTTCAACGTTGATAATAGGTCAAACTTCAATGTTGATTCCACGTCGGACATATACGTCTAAAAAACTTTCATATACAACCTATTTTCAATCTAATTTCAACGTTGAGGACCAACCTATTCTCAACGTTGAAACAACGTTGATGTGCCTGCTGGGTCCAAACATTGGAAAATCTGAAAAAGCCTACACTGCTGGGATACTTTATTACAATGAGAACTGTAGGGGATACTTTCAAATTGGCATCCACCCTTCCTAATGTCCCACTGATGAGGTTGAAGAAATTCTGCCAGTGTTGAAACTTTACCCTAATTGGTCTAATCAAAACATGCTGAAATGAATACATATCAATTACTTTCAAAACGCAGAACTGTGTTGTATGTAATCGATTTGTTGCTGTGCTTACGAGTGAGTGTGTAAAACACGTCTTCAGTTAAAACATTACCGTTTACATAAACGTATACGGTACAAACAAAGTGATAGATGTATATTCCTTTGCAATGTACAAGAAAAGAAACAGCTCACGTGTCAACATCAAAACACATCACGGCAAACCACAACATCCGGAGTCTCGCGGCGGGAAAGGCTAAAAATAGAAAAGCATGTGGTGTATGTTTGTAAACAATCGCTGACTACTGTCGACACAGAAATCAGATTTGTCGTCAACACTGGTCAGATGTATCTGGGAGTTTTGTACTTCTGACTCAGCTTGTGCAAAGCGAGCGTGTATGCATATACTGTTCGTATTTGCATTTTTTCAAAGTAAATGCTGATACAAATGAAAATATTTCAAAGCGACAACGCTTGTATTTTAAAGTCAGAAAACACTTTTATCGTTATATCTATTTTGCCCTTCTGGATATTCACACGGCTGGCTGTTCTGGTGTAAAAATTAATTAAAATTTCAGGACAAATATATAAATGGACAGGGCTATGTTAATTTATGCATATCACATATTTTTAAATCATGTACGTTTTATGAGTTGAAACAACAAAGGGCTCTTGTCTTAGATGGCTGCTTTGAACCACTACGTGTGCTCAGTGTTCTTTTATTTTCGTGTATCATATTTTATTTAATAGGTCATAAAGTGAATACTAACGCCAAATAAATTGCAAAGAGACAAAAGTATATTACATGGGTCAAAATGTCTTTTTCATTTTCCAAATCTTCTACTTTTACTTCTTTTTGAGTGTGGCTGTCTTCTCTCCTTTCACAATTGTTATAGAGTTGGCTTCATCTACATTTGACTTAATATTCCACATAATATTCTAATGTCCTAAGGGGCGGCCGGGTAGCAAAATGGTTAAAGTGTTCGTTCGTCACACCGAAGGCCCGGGTTCGACTCCCAACATGAATACAATGTGTGGAGACTATTTCTGGTGCCCCCCCACCGTGATATTGCTGGAATATTACTAAAGCGGCGTAAAACTAAACTCACTCACTCACTCTAACGTCCTGAGTAGATTACAGGTGTCTGAATTACCTGTGTAAACGCATATATAATTCATTCATAAAGTGTATTAGAGGACGGCAGTTCGGATCTGGAAACATCATTCAGACTGAACTCTAAAAATGTCGCATGCGTGCATGTGTAATGAATAATTTTAAGTTATTGGAAAGATAATGACATACTCTTCTATACTTATCCCCAGATACAGACGTAAACGGCTGAGAGCTACCTTAAAGTTACCCAGCATATTTCTGTCATTTTGCGACTGCTACGGCTCACTACTCTGTGTTAAACATTCAATTTCAAGACTTGTGTAGGCACGCAGCTAGTATGTTTCTCAAAATTAGAAGTTTATTTTAAGGGCCACAGCCCACCTTTACCTTATCCTGCATATTTCACATCCACCTCTCACCTTATTCATGAGTGAGTCAGTTGGGTTTAGTGCCACCTTGTACTTCACAGTGTCAGGTTAATGTGAGTAAGTTGGGTTTAGTGCCATCTTGTAGCTTATAGTGTCAGTTTAATGGGAATGAGCGAATGAGTGAGTGAGTTGAGTTTAGTGCTACCTTGTATTTCACAGTGTCAAGTTAATGTGAGTAAGTTGAGTTTAGTGCCATCTTGTACTTCACAGTGTCAGGTTAATGTGAGTCAGTTGGGTTTAGTGCCACCTTGTACTTCACAGTGTCAGGTTAATGTGAGTAAGTTGGGTTTAGTGCCATCTTGTAGCTTATAGTGTCAGTTTAATGGGAATGAGTGAGTGAGTTGAGTTTAGTGCTACCTTGTATTTCACAGTGTCAAGTTAATGTGAGTCAGTTGGGTTTAGTGCCACCTTGTACTTCACAGTGTCAGGTTAATGTGAGTAAGTTGGGTTTAGTGCCATCTTGTAGCTTATAGTGTCAGTTTAATGGGAATGAGCGAATGAGTGAGTGAGTTGAGTTTAGTGCTACCTTGTATTTCACAGTGTCAAGTTAATGTGAGTCAGTTGGGTTTAGTGCCACCTTGTACTTCACAGTGTCAGGTTAATGTGAGTAAGTTGGGTTTAGTGCCATCTTGTAGCTTATAGTGTCAGTTTAATGGGAATGAGCGAGTGAGTGAGTTGAGTTTAGTGCTACCTTGTATTTCACAGTGTCAAGTTAATGTGAGTAAGTTGAGTTTAGTGCCATCTTGTATTTCATAGTGTCAGTTTAACTGGAATGGGCGAATGAGTGAGTTGGGTTAAGTGCTACCTTGTACGTCATAGTGTCAATTTAATTGGAATGGGCGAATGAGTGAGTGAGTGAGTTGGGTTTAGTGCTACCTTGTACTTCATAGTGTCAGTTTAACGGGAATGAGTGAATGAGTGAGTGAGTTGGGTTTAGTGCTACCTTCTACTTCATAGTGTCAGTTTAATGGGAATGACTGAATGAGTGAGTGAGTGAGTTGGGTTTAGTGCTACCTTGTACTTCATAGTGTCAGTTTAACTGGAATGAGTGAATGAGTGAGTGAGTGAGTTGGGCTTAGTGCTACCTTGTACTTCATAGTGTCAGTTTAACGGGAATGAGTGAATGAGTGAGTGAGTTGGGTTTAGTGCTACCTTGTACTTCATAGTGTCAGTTTAACGGGAATGAGTGAGTGAGTGAGTTGGGTTTAGTGCTACCTTGTACTTCATTGTGTCAGTTTAACGGGAATGAGTGAGTGAGTGAGTTGGGTTTAGTGCTACCTTGTACTTCATAGTGTCAGTTTAACGGAAATGAGTGAATGAGTGAGTGAGTGAGTTGGGTTTAGTGCTACCTTGTACTTCATAGTGTCAATTCAATGGGAATGAGTGAGTGAGTGAGCGAGTTGGGTTTAGTGCTACCTTGTACTTCACAGTGTCAGTTCAATGGAAGGAAACCCTGAAGGTTGGAGGTTCTAGATGTTTGAATAGTTGGTGGTATGATGAGCATGACTGACAAAGTAATGATCATAATCACCGCGATTCCTGTCATCATCACCAGCAGCATATCCTGACATGACCAAGGGATGCAACTCTAGGCATGTGAAAACCCTACCAGATGAGATTATGTATTGAACAATGTATGATGTGAATGACAAAATAAAGCATGATGTGATTCTGGTTCCACGTCCATCAGCAAATCCTGGTATGATCAAGGAATGCAACTCTAGGTATGTGCAAACCCAACAATAGGAGATGTATGTATTGAACAATCTATGGTGTGAATGACAAAATAATCATGATGTGATTCTGGTTCCACGTTCATCAGCAGATCCTGGTATGATCAAGGGATGCAACTTTGTCATATCTGAATATGATGAGGTATAAGTATTGAACAATACAAGCAAGATATAACTCAGAATTTTAATATATTTTATTCCAAAAATTATTCTATGATGGTATTCTACATTGATTATTATTTAAGTCAGCTGACTTTCTTACATTTTCAACATCAGACTAAAAACTAGAACAGTATCTTCATCTACATTGGGTGACAAACGTAAAGTGCTAGCAACAGTGTAACTCGGTATGAATGGTGCCACTCGGTATTTTGCAATGTGAAAAAAGATCCCAAAGCAGAATGTGCGTATCTAAAACTGACCAACCCCATCATATCAGTATCCCCACCCCACCTCAGTTTCATTTTCATTCTGGTCTCCCACACCCCACCTCCAAACTGACCAACCCCCATCAGTATCCCCCAACAAGTATCATTCTGCATGATACCAAGTATTAATCTGCTGTTGTCAAAACATACTGTGTATATATACTCCTCTACATCTGGTTGTAATCACTTTTAGCTTGATAATGATGTAAGAATCTACATTGCAACATCGCTCTATGCAATAAATAAGAAGTCATTAAAGTTGTATCTTTCAGTCAGTCACAACTTCTAGAATGGCTATATCAAACAAACATGAGTATCATTCTGCTCTCCTCCCACACCTTCCACCTCCAAACTGACAAACCACCATCAGCACCTCCCACCCAGTATCATTCTCTTCTCCCCACACTCACACCCCCTGAACTGACCAACCCCCATCAGAACCTCCCATACAGTATCATTCTGTTCGCCCCACACACCATCTCAAAACTCCAACCAAGAGCCATCAGAACCCCCAACCAAGAATCATTCTGCTTCACAAACACTAACCCCCAAACTGACTTCAACCCCCATCAGAACTCCATCAAACCAGTATCGTTCTGTTCTCCCCACACCCCACCTGCAAACTGACAAGGCCCCCACCAAGTATCATTCTGCTCTCCCTACACCCCACCTTCAAACTGACCAACAACCAATCAGACCTCCACCCAGTATCAATCTACTCTCCACACACCCCACCTCCAAACTGACCAACCCCATCAGAACCCTCCACCAAGTATCATTCTGCTCTCCTTACGCCCCACCTCCAAACTGACCAAACCCCATCAGTATCCCACACCAAGTATCATTCAGCTCTCCTTCGACCCCACCTCCAAACTGACTAACCCCATCAGAACCCTCCACCAAGTATCATTCAGCTCTCCACACACCCCACCTCCAAACTGACTAACCCCATCAGAACCCTCCAGCCAGTATCAATCTGTTTCCACACACCCACACCCAAACTGACTAACCCCCATCAGAACCCTCCACCAAGTATCAATCTGTTTCTCCACACCCACCTCCAAACTGACTACAACCCCATCAGAACCCTCCACCAAGTATCATTCTGCTTCCACACACCCACCTCCAAACTGACTAACCCCATCAGAACCCTCCACCAAGTATCATTCAGCTCTCCCCGCACACCCCACCTCCAAACTGACTAACCCTATCAGAACCCTCCAGCCAGTATCAATCTGCTCTCCACACCCCACCTCCAAACTGACTAACCCCATCAGAACCTCCACTAAGTATCAATCTGTGCTCTCCACACCCCCACCTCCAAACTGACTAACCCTCATCAGAACCCTCCACCAAGTATCATTCTGCTCTCTTCTAATTCCACCTCCAAACTGACCAAACCCCATCAGAACCCTCCACCAAGTATCATTCAGCTCTCCTACACCCCACCTCCAAACTGACCAACCCCATCAGAACCCTCACCAAGTATCATTCTGCTCTCCCACACACCCCACCTCCAAACTGACTAACCCCCATCAGAACCCTCCACCAAGTATCATTCAGCTCTCCCTACACCCCACCTCCAAACTGACTAGCTAACCCATCAGAACCCTCCACCAAGTATCATTCTGCTCTCCTACACCCCACCTCCAAACTGGCCTGCACCAACCCCATCAGAACCCTCCACCAAGTATCATTCTGTTCTCCCTACACCCCACCTCCAAAACTGACTAACCCCATCAGAACCTCCACCAAGTATCATTCAGCTCTCCACACACCCCACCTCCAAACTGACTAACCCCATCAGAACCCTCCACCAAGTATCATTCAGCTCTCCACACACCCCACCTCCAAACTGACTAACCCCATCAGAACCCTCCACCAAGTATCATTCAGCTCTCCTACACCCCACCTCCAAACTGACTAACCCCATCAGAACCCTCCACCAAGTATCATTCAGCTCTCCCTACACCCCACCTCCAAACTGACTAACCCCATCAGAACCCTCCACCAAGTATCATTCAGCTCTCCACACACCCCACCTCCAAACTGACAAACCCCTATCAGAACCCTCCACCAAGTATCATTCTGCTCTCCCTACACCCCACCTCCAAACTGACCAACCCCATCAGAACCATCCACCAAGTATCATTCTCCGGCCCCACACCCCACCTCCAAACTGACAAGGCCCCATCAGAACCACCCCCACCCCACCCAACAGTATCATTTGATCGCTCCACACCCAACCTCCAAACTGACCAACCCCCATCAGAACCCACCACCCAGTATCATTTTGCTCTCCCTACACCAACCTCCAAACTGACCAAACCCTACCAGAACCCCCCACCCAGTATCATTTTGCTCGCTCCCTACACCAACCTCCAAACTGACCAACCCCCATCAGAACCTCCCACCAGTATCATTTTGCTCGCTCCCTACACCAACCTCCAAACTGACCAACCCCCATCAGAACCCGCCACCCAGTATCATTTTGCTCTCCCTACACCAACCTCCAAACTGACCAAACCCAATCAGTATCCCCCACCAAGTATCATTCTGTTCTCCCCTACTCCACCGCTGAACTGACGAAACCCCATCAGTATCCCCCACCCACTATCATTCTGCTCTCCCCACACTCCACCCCCGAACTGACCAACCCCCATCGTTGTGTTATGGACAATAATCACACAGCTCCAGGTGTCTACATTAGGTAAGAAACGTGAGATTTTGGTGATATTGCATCGTTGTGTTATGGACAATAATCACACAGCACCAGGTGTCTACATTAGGTAAGAAACGTGAGATTTTGGTGACATTGCATCGTTGTGTTATGGACAATAATCACACAGCACCAGGTGTCTACATTAGGTAAGAAACGTGAGATTTTGGTGACATTGCATCGTTGTGTTATGTACAATAATCACACAGCATCAGGTGTCTACATTAGATAATAAAAGTGGGGCTTCGGTGATATTGCATCGTTGTGTTATGGACAATAATCACACAGCATCAGGTGTCTACATTAGATAAGAAAAGTTGGGCTTTGGTGATATTGCATCGTTGTGTTATGGACAATAACCACACAGCACCAGGTGTCTTCATTAGGTGAGAAACGTGAGGCTTTGGTGATATTGCATCGTTGTGTTACGGACAATAATCACACAGCATCAGGTGTCTACATTAGGTAAGAACACAGCACCAGGTGTCTACATTAGATAAGAAAAGTGGGGCTTTGGTGATATTGCATCGTTGTGTTATGGACAATAACCACACAGCACCAGGTGTCTTCATTAGGTGAGAAACGTGAGGCTTTGGTGATATTGCATCGTTGTGTTACGGACAATAATCACACAGCATCAGGTGTCTACATTAGGTAAGAACACAGCACCAGGTGTCTACATTAGATAAGAAAAGTGGGGCTTTGGTGATATTGCATTGTTGTGTTATGGACAATAACCACACAGCACCAGGTGTCTACATTAGGTGAGAAACGTGAGGCTTTGGTGACATTGCATCGTTGTGTTATGGACAATAATCACACAGCATCAGGTGTCTACATTAGGTAAGAAAAGTGGGGCTTTGGTGATATTGCATCGTTGTGTTATGGACAATAACCACACAGCACCAGATGTCTACATTAGGTAAGAAATGTGAGGTTTTGGTGATATTGCATCGTTGTGTTATGTACAATAATCACACAGCATCAGGTGTCTACATTAGGTAAGAAATGTGAGATTTTGGTGACATTGCATCGTTGTGTTATGGACAATAATCACACAGCATCAGGTGTCTACATTAGGTAAGAACACAGCACCAGGTGTCTACATTAGATAAGAAAAGTGGGGCTTTGGTGACATTGCATCGTTGTGTTATGGACAATAACCACACAGCACCAGGTGTCTACATTAGATAAGAAAAGTGGGGCTTTGGTGATATTGCATCGTTGTGTTATGGACAATAACCACACAGCACCAGGTGTCTACATTAGGTGAGAAACGTGAGGCTTTGGTGATATTGCATCGTTGTGTTATGTACAATAATCACACAGCACCAGGTGTCTACATTAGGTAAGAAACGTGAGGTTTTGGTGACATTTTATCACTGTGTTATGTACAATAAGTACCGGTTGTAAGTCTGTTATATTGCTGGTTAGTTGGTCCAGTCTTATGTACCGGTATGTCTAATGGTGTACATTATCTGTTTCATTGCATAAACGCATGAAATACAGAACACTGCAATGCCATTCAAAGTCCAGAACATCCCTGGCTAGACTAACATCCATGGTCAGACTTGGATCCCTGGTTGGACCTGGATCACTGGTTGGACTAACATCACTGGTTGGACTTGGATCCCTGATTGGACCTAGATCCATGGTTTGACTTGGATCCCTGGTTGTACTTGGATCCTTGCTTGGAGCTAGATCCATGGTTTGACTTGGATCCCTGGTTGGAGCTAGATCATGGTTTGACTTGGATGCCTGGTTGGAGCTAGATCATGGTTTGACTTGGATCCCTGGTTGGAGCTAGATCCCTGGTTTGACTTGGATCCCTGGTTGGAGCTAGATCATGGTTTGACTTGGATGCCTGGTTGTAATTGGATCCCTGGTTGGAGCTAGATCCATGTTGGATCCCTGGTTGGAGCTAGATCCATGGTTGTACTTGGATGCCTGGTTGTACTTGGATCCCTGGTTGGAGCTAGATCCATGGTTTGAGTTGGATCCCTGGTTGTACTTGGATATCTTGTTGGACTTATAACCATGGATGGACTCAGATCCATCGTTCAACTCATGGTCATCTGCAGCTGTGACTGCATACATCAGCGACAGAGTCTTGCTTGGTCAGGCAGCATGCACAGTGTGCTCTGAAACAAGATGTAAACAAATTGAAGAAGAATGACAAAATGGCTGGTGTCCAACACTGACCAGTGAGCCCTACCTCCCATTAAAAAATGACAGTGTAAAGTACAGGGGTGACTGGTGTCCAACACTGACCAGTGAACCCTACCTTCCATTACGACTGACAGTGTACAGTACAAGGGTGGCTGGTGTCCAACACTGACCCATGAGCCCTACCTCCCATTAAAGACCAAATACACTTTGTTTTTGTATACTCTTTTAACTATTACATATGAAAGATGTGTCGTCAGTCTTATGCAGAACATGACATTAAATCTTAAAATACAAAGGACAGGAGAGTTGAGGGTGGAAATTAGAGACAGTTGAGTTGAGTTGGGTTGGGTTTTACGTCACATTGGCAGTGTTCCAGCCATATAGTGACGAGAACAAGTTTGCATTAATAAACATTGTAAGTACATACTCGGAATGAGTTTTATTTCAAAAGCATATGTTCATTACATAGTCATTAAAAAAAGAAAAAGTCATAGCACCAAATTTAAAAGCAGGCAATTAAGAAACAGATGCACGGAGACAAAATGAAATAGTCCACACATATCAACAGATGGCATGTGTTCACAACAACCCTCTTTACCAAATTTTACAAACTACATCCAAACTTTATTAAAAAATAGTTTAGTTGACAACATTTCTTGTGTCAACAACCCAGGCTGCCCATCTGATTGGTAATGTGAGAATCAATTGGAAATGAAAAGCAGTTAGCATTAGAATGTTTCAGGACCTTAAAGAAAGGCCGAATTGATGTAGAATTTCTGACAACAGATGCTGATAGTGCAGCTTAGACAGCTCTCATTGAAATGATTGATGCAAAGGAGATGGATTTGTGTCCACAAATTTTCTCGATACAGGCATCTTTCGCACAGCCATCGAAAGTTTATTAAAATTCTAAATTTATTATGGACATGATGCCTGCTAGAACTAGACAAGATAAACAGAATTTGACCAATATATTTTCTTTAGACTGTGCCTCCAGATGTGCAGCAGTTTTCACCTGTTTACTCTAATCATGCCAGGCACTTGCCAAGGTTGAAGAAATCTCTGTCATATACTTCCGATGTTACACGGAACATCATGCAATGTAAAAAGCAGTCATTTGTTTGTAAGGGGAAAGCAAAACTGGTTATTGTACAGTAAGTATTTGGATAAAACATTCAAATTTTTCCAATGAAATTAACTTTCAAGATTTGAGAAATGCACCAACTTTCATCTGGTGATACAACCTTTCATTTCATGGTGATACAACCTTTCATTTCCTGGTGATACAACCTTTCATTTCCTGGTGATACAACCTTTCATTTCCTGGTGACATAACCTTTCATTTCCTGGTGATACAACCTTTCATTTCCTGGTGATACAACCTTTCATTACCTGATGACACAACCTTTCATTTCCTGGTGATACAACCTTTCATTTCCTGGTGACACAACCTTTCATTTCCTGGTGATACAACCTTTTATTTCCTGGTGATACAACATTTCATTACCTGGTGACACAACCTTTCATTTCCTGGTGATACAACCTTTCATTATCTGGTGATACAACCTTTCATTTCCTGGTGATACAACCTTTCATTTCCTTGTGATACAACCTTTCATTACCTGGTGATACAACCTTTCATTACCTGGTGATACAACCTTTCATTATCTGGTGATACAACCTTTTATTTCCTGGTGATACAACCTTTCATTTCCTGGTGATACAACCTTTCATTTCCTGGTGATACAACCTTTCGTTAACTCGTGATACAACCTTACATTTCCTGGTGATACAACCTTTCATTTCCTGGTGATACAACCTTTCATTTCCTGGTGATACAACCTTTCATTATCTGGTGATACAACCTTTTATTATCTGGTGATACAACCTTTCATTATCTGGTGATACAACCTTTCATTTCCTGGTGATACAACCTTTTATTTCCTGGTGATACAACCTTCCCTTACTTTGAGATACAACCTTTCATTATCTGGTGATACAACCTTTCATTACCTGGTGATACAACCTTTCATTTCCTGGTGATACAACCTTTCATTTCCTGGTGATACAACCTTCCCTTACTTCGAGATACAACCTTTCATTATCTGGTGATAAAACCTTTCATTTCCTGGTGATACAACCTTTCCTAGCCTGGTGATACAACCTTTCATTACCTGGTGATACAACCTTTCATTTCCTGGTGATACAACCTTTCATTACCTGGTGATACAACCTTCCCTTACTTCGAGATACAACCTTTTATTATCTGGTGATACAACCTTTCATTATCTGGTGAAACAAACTTTCATTTCCTGGTGAAACAACCTTCCATTTCCTGATGATAAAACCTTTCATTTCCTGGTGATACAACCTTTCATTTCCTGGTGATACAACCTTTCATTACCTGATGACACAACCTTTCATTTCCTGGTGATATTACCTCTCATTTCCTGGTGATACAACCTTTCATTAACTCATGATACAACCTTTCATTACCTTGCGATACAACCTTTCATTTCCTGGTGACACAACCTTTCATTTCCTGGTGATACAACGTTTCATTTCCTGGTGATACAACCTTTCATTTCCTGGTGATACAACCTTTCATTTCCTGGTGATACAACCTTCCCTTACTTCGAGATACAACCTTTCATTACCTGGTGATACAACCTTTCATTACCTTGTGATAGAACCTCTCATTACCTCGTGATACAACCTCTCATTTCCTATTGATACAACCTTTCATTACCTCGTGATACAACCTCTGCTGGTAACTCCCATGGTAGAGCCCCCGGTCATTACCTCGTGATACAACCTCTGCTGGTAACTTCTATGGTAGAGCCCCCAGTCATTACCTCGTGATACAACCTCTGCTGGTAACTTCCATGGTAGAGCCCCCGGTCATTACCTCGTGATACAACCTCTGCTGGTAACTTCCATTGTAGAGCCCCCGGTCATTACCTCGTGATACAACCTCTGCTGGTAACTTCCATGGTAGAGCCCCCAGTCATTACCTCGCGTGATACAACCTCTGCTGGTAACTTCCATGGGTA